ACATTTGCCATTTATATCAGCCCCCTTGTCAATTAGTATCTTTACAATAGACACATTATGGGCAAGGACGGCATAAATCAGTGGTACCCGGCCATTGGCACATTTGACATTTATATCAGCCCCCTTGTCAATTAGTATCTTTACAATAGACACATTATCGGCAAGGATAGCATGGATCAGTGGTATCCGGCCACCGACACCTTTGATATTGATATCAGCGCCCTTCGCAATTAGTATCTTTACAATAGACACATTATCGGCAAGGATAGCATGGATCAGTGGTACATCACCATACCGATCCTCTGCGTTAATATCAGCGCCAGTATCAATCAGCACACTGGCAATATCCTCATGCCCTGCATAACTGCAATGCATCAGTGGTGTTCGGCCATCCGGGCCAGCTGCCTTAGTACTAGCACCCTTGTCCAGCAGCAACTTGACTACAGCAGTATGCCCATTCAGAGACGCCCAGCAAAGGGGCGAATGAAACAGCTTGTCATTCACCTCGGTGCCAGCACCTCTCTTAAGCAGACTCCTGGCATAATTCTCAAGGCCGTTCTCAGCAGCCCACGATAATGGCGTCCGGCCACTGTAGACCTTATTCAAGGATGATTCAGGTCGGCTCTGCGTGAGCATCAACCATACATGAACATCAACCTGGGGGTGATTCCAATTGAGGGCCCGCGCCAGTGTAGCGATAGGGTAGATATTGATGGGCAAAGACATATTGTATTCTTCGGAGCTTCCTATCCTCTGCAAACGTGTCATGCGACCAGCTTGGATACACATCCTTGTCATACGAAGTTGGGACTTATTGAACCTTTTGAGATCAAGATGGTGGAAATTGCCACAATAAACTCTCTTGAATCGCTCCAAGGTCAAGGACGGATCATGCACAAAGATGGCGACTGCTGTAGACCCCCCATCGACTTTCTTGCACTGCAGAACAGCAAGTCCAAGTCCAACGTGCTCCAATCCTATCTGGCAAAGGTCTAAATGAATCCCTTTGCCGCTTATAATCAAAGGGCTATAGAAAGTATCGGATGTCTCACCGATGATAGTATCATGGGGGACAATGTCGTAGGAGTCAATGAAGGCAGCAGGAGATGTAGCAAGAAGTCCAGCGCGAGTATCCGAAGATTTCCAAGCAAAAAGACTGTGGTCTTCCGAGATCCGAAGGATTTCCTCCTGGAGTCTAATAAAGGCACCTTCCCTTTCTCCATAGATCAGAGGCATATTGACGCCAAATAGCCCCATCAGACAATAGGCACGATCCTCAACTCTGGATGTCTGTCTTTCTGCCGCCCATGACATTCTCTGAGCGATGCTAAACGTATCAAGATCTTGATCACCCAGAAGAATACTCTCGGGTATACGAGTGCATCGAGATATTCTTGTTCCAAGGCTCGCCTTATCACCTAGCTTCTTCCAGTTCCCGTCATAGAATACCATTTCCCGCGGAGCAATTAGCTCTTGCAGTGTCCATCCCCTAGTAAACCATCTACTCCGTTCAAATGGTTCCTGTGGTACGTCAAAGAGATATGCATAGCATATCGTGGCTTCTTGGTACCAGAGGAACATGGAATTAATGGCCTCTGATAGCTCTGCGCTGCTTGTTTTGTCAATGCAACAAGTGTCTATCCATACATATACATACCCCATTTCGTGGGCTATTGAGCAACATTGTTCAACCTTTCTATAGCCCACCCTGGACTTTATGATGGGTTCATTGATATTTTGCAGGGTAACCTCGTCTGAACCCCAAGTATGAGACAGGATTGCATAGGGTTGATTCTGGAGTTGGTCGTCCGCGAACTCTTCAATCTCGAAGGCGCCCACGTTGGACTTTGTAGTCTTGAGGAGACGCATGGTTTAGATTGGGTTGGGAGATGTCTCTAGTACTTTGAGAGTAAGAGGCTGATGGAGTGCGTTGTGCTGTAGAGTCCAAGTCTTGAGTCTATGTCACCCAGGACTGTTTTCGTACAGGTTACGGGTGTTGCCAGAAATTGTGTCTATCTGCACGAATTCAGACCAACACGTGTAGCGTAACTTGAAGAGTAGCTGGATCCATAAGTTAATGAAAGAGGCTGGATAGAAGGGTTGAAAGGCGAGGTTGTGAGAGCGCAGAAGGAAAGTGAGTGCGACGAGGCTGAAAGTACACGCCAACTGCGGATCCTGGTCATTCATTGGCCGAGCTAAGCCTCACTTTCTGCTACTAAAGTGATCTCTGTTGCTCCTTACCATACAACATGCGGATTGCCCGATCTCTTCATCCCCGTTGGCACTCGGGATCTCATACCCAACCCAGACAGTGTCAACATATTCAAGTGACACGTCCCAGACAGGATCCAAAACCAGCTTACTGGCATCATACACAAACCATGATATTCTGTACAAGGCAGAGACCTCCAAATCGAAACCCCAGCGGAAACCCGAGAGCCAAACGACCGTGGGAACCAGCGGTAGCGTTCCTCGACTGGTTTTCAGACTCGCAAAGCCGTCGACCATACCTCACGCAGTTATGTCTCACGCCGGTAATATACTGCATTGGCGATTTCTCGGCGCAGATGATCGGAGATGACGATTTCGACCCCCGCCGCTCCCTACGAAGCATCGTCGTCGGCCTCGTTATCGCTATTCCCAGCCACGAATGGTTTCTGTTTCTAGGACGACGGTTCAACTACGCTTATTCTCCGACTATATCCCTCTGCGCGAAAGTGGCTGCCAATCAACTATTGTATACTCCGTTGTTCAATGTGTATTTCTTTGCCTTCCATGGGCTTCTCTCCGGGGAGGGACTCATGGGTGCCGCTGAACGCGTGAGCAATACTGTGCCGACAAGTATACCCAGGAGCTTTCTTTACTGGCCTTTTGTCACAGCGTTCAACTTTACCTATGTACAGCCTCAGTCTCGCTCGGCTGCTACATCCGTCTTTGCTGTTTTCTGGCAATCGTACCTGAGTTGGTTGAATAGTTCGGCGGAAACGGGAGCAGAGATGCGCATTGGCAAACCTGCCTCGTCCAATGCATGTGCCGTGGGGGATCTTGATCGTCGGCTTTTGTTGTTTGATGATAACTAGATATTTGTCTGCTGTCGGTCCCGTGTCTCTTATGCTTTAGTTCTTGTTCGGTGGGTCTAGTGTTGGTCTCTTGGATTCGTGGAGCTGAATGCACCTATTTCTGTTTGCTTTTCGTTATCTAGGGCTGCGACAATTGAACATCGTTATATGAATAGTCTCTCTTGTTGGTTCCCAGGTGTACAATTAGTTTAGTGGTTTCCATTTTCTCCTCTCTAGTACAACTAACGTCTTTCCCCTGTCACTATATCGCGTGAGCTTAATATGTTAGTCCTCAACGTCTATAAATGAGTCACCAAGTATATTGATGAACTGTTTGAGGTTTCCCTGTCTTACCCGTCACCTGTAAAACTTGTTGCCCTACAAAACACACGATACGTCGTATTAGCCAAGCCTTGACAGCTCCCAAAACCGTACCTTGCCACTTGATCCAGTACGTTTTACAAAGCTGTAATCCTGTCACCCATGGTAGTTTTTCTCTAAAAGTCCAAAATATAATAGGCAACGTTGATGTAAGACCGCATGAATCCACCTTCCTCAAACGACCTCAACACAGACACCTAAACAAGACTCCCCTCCTGCAACACCCACCTCACCAACTCCGCCAAACGATCACTCACCACCGATGTACGAGGAATATCATGCCCACCCCCGTGATCAAAAACCCTCCTGTTACTCTCCTCACAAACCCCCGACAACAGTACGCCCGCGGCAAACCTCGGATCCTTGCGTCCATAAACATGCACCGTCGGAACCCCGATCTTGACGGCACCATTCGCACACCGCTCAATCTCCCCCCGAATTCTTTCCTCGTCAATCACCTCCCCCGCATCGTCGCTACCACTCCATCTATCCGCGCCCTTCGCCAGGATCGAGGCTGAATCGGCCTGAATGGATAATTTCTTCCGGGACGCTGCGTCCTGGGCTTGCATTTCCGGGGTGATGTTGTACCCCAGTTCCTCGAGGAGGGGTAGCGGGGCACCGCCGCAGATGAAGATGGCTGCTTTGAACGGCGGGGGCGCGTGTGGTGTTTCGTGGGCGTGCAGGAGGAGGGTTAAGGCTGCGAGGCTGCAGCCTTGCGAGAAGCTTAGGACGGCGTCGTAGGGCCCTTTCTCGGAGATGAGGTCTAGGAGCCAGTCGCGGGCTTTGTAGATATCTGGGATGGAGTCATTGCGCCAGAAAGTGTAGTAGGGGGGTTCGTAGAAGAGGTCGATTCCGGAGGCGGCCGTGGTGGTGTAGGGGGCGTCGATGAAGTCGAAGGTGATGGGGAGGTCTTCGAGGCGGGAGCGGAAGGAGGCTGGTTTTTCATTTGGTTTGTTATGTTATTTCTTGGGCAGGCTGGGGTTGGGGTTACGGACTGGTTTGGGATCGGAAGATTTGGGCGCTGGTGCCTCGGCCGTGGAGGCAGAGGATGCGCATTTTGCGAGGATGGATGGTTTCAGGGAAATTGAGAGGTTAAGGAAAATGAGGGAGGGAGCGATGGATAAGAATGGTGAGGGGTCAGACGTTGGTCTGTTTCTCATGTCAGCGCGCATGCAGCTTTGACCCCACCAGAGCTGCAGGGGACCGTGAGTTTGAGGTCGTATAATAGTAACTAACATCTTCTCTGTACATGCTCGGACTTGTGGGACAATTTCTACCAAGTGAAGAAAACTCCGATTGCTGTACCACGTCGCTCTATGGCTCCTTCAGATTGATCTACATTAATTCTCTAGGACCTTTGGCATGCGTTGTACTCCTGGACGCTTTCTCGTATGATCAACACGATCGGTGGCCTAAGGTTCTGGCCCCGATTAGCGCCCGATCTCCACGCGGTAATCGGACACCGAGGCAATCATTTTAGGGTTACTTTTGTTTTGACTTGCTTCCATTCTGGTCGCATAAGTAGTGATGTGTAGATAGCAATGAGTGACTGTACCACTAGTAGGGTTAGGCTTAAATCAGAATGGCACCACTAAAGCGAGAAAGACAGCAGGACAGAACGCAAGAAAGAAAATACAGACGTGTTGAACACCTGAATAGGCTCGTAATGCGAGACTGAAAACCCGGAGGATCCCTATGGTTGAACATAAGGTAGCCTAGACCGAAACTCTTGTCCCCTATAGGAAACCCTTCCACAACTACTTGATCTCGACGCTGGCATCAACACTAGCGTTGGCACTCAGAGTCAGGACCGGGGACACAAGACCCGCCCTCGTCTCAGCATCTTCCAGGGTCAGAGTGGCGTTCTTGCCGCTGCCGATACCGAACGCTCGCTTCGTCGCTTTCCAGATCTCCACCATCGCTAGGTAGACCACGACACACCCGAATACAACGCCCCATTCCCAACCAATGGCTTGATGCTTGAAAACAATCCGATTTACTGCCGGTAAGTAGATTACCGGAAAAGCGATGACAAAACCAGCGACCACGGCCCAGAATAAGAACCGGTTGCGCCAGACGGAATGGAACACGGACAATTTGCCGGGATATCGGCCCGGGTCTAGGTTGAATAATGATCGTGAAAAGTGCTTCACCTCCCAGGCAGTGACCAGAAGTAGGAAGGTCAAAGTTGCATATGTTGTCGCTCGCGCCCGGAAGACAACCCGACAACTTTCATTCCATGATTCGTTACAGTCGTGTCCCATAGAAGAGGTGCCATTGCCGTTTCCATAGATAACACATACAAAGGCCACAAGACAGAGCGAGCCCATGCACGTTCCATATATCATCTTGTCGGTGATAAGTTCCCGGGTAAACACTCCCACCTTTAGGTCATGCGGGGGGCGATACATGATGTCGGGCTGAGCCTCTTCAAGTCCCAGACCTATCGCGAGAAACGACGAGGTGACTAGGTTAGCCCATAGAATCTCTAGCGGAGAGAGGGGGAATATAGAGTTTCCCTCTGCATCTTTGAATGCCAGAGCGACGAGTAGTAGGACAACCTGTGCGATATTTGAGATGAGTAGGTGCATCAAGAACTGTGCAAGCAGTTAGCGAAGGTAGAATATCTGCAACAACGCCATCGTGTACCTTTTGAATATTATCGAAAAGCCTCCTTCCCTCTTCAACTGCTTTTACAATGGATGAGAAGTTATCATCGGTCAAAACCATATCGGCAGCTTCCTTAGCCACGTCACTTCCGTTCTTTCCCATCGCTATGCCCACATCGGCGCGCTTTAAAGCCGGCGAATCATTGACACCATCACCAGTCATGACACAGAACGCGTTCCGCCGATGCATTGCTTCCACCATTCGGACCTTTGTAGTTGGACTGCATCGCGCAATGACGAGCGGTAACTGCTCGATAGCATCTATCTCAGACTCGGACAGTCGATCGAACTCCTCGGCTGCCATCACCAACCGGCTGGACTTCGCACCCATAATGGGGTCCAGTATACCAACTTCCGATGCAATAGCGGTTGCTGTCCGAATATGGTCACCAGTCAACATGTGTACAGCGATGCCTGCCATTTGGCATCTCCGTACTGCTGCGGCAGTCTCAACACGAGGGGGATCATATAGTCCCACGAGTCCGCCAAAGGCCAGATTTGATTCAGCTGTGGGACGCGAGGATACTTCAGAGTCCTTATCAATAGGGACCTTTTTGTACGCGACACAAAGAACACGCAGCCCCTCTCCAGCCATTCTGTCTGCAGTCTGTTGAATCGAAGCCTGCTCTATTTCGCTGCTATTCAATCGAGGGATAACTGCCTCTGGAGCTCCCTTCATATATACCTCGTTCATGTTCAATTCAAGGTTCCGGTAAACTACCGTCATCCGCTTGATAGAAGAGTCAAATGGGTATTCCGTATGAAGTTCCAAATTGCTGTTCTGCAGTAGGCTTGGCTTTCCGAGGCCAAATCGCATCGCAAGGACCTGAAGGGCAATTTCCGTTGGCTCCCCTACGGCAGCCCACCTCATTTGTGCACCATGTCCAGGCTCCTTTTCTGACAACATCGACTGCTGCTCTTTGTGTACGGTCGAAAGGTTGCATAGTGAAATAGCATTCAAGAAGGTATTTAGTGTTTGGTTACCCTGCATGGTGTCCGGTTGCCAGTCAACTTCGTCAATTTGAACCAACCCGCTCGTCGGGTCATACGGGTTGGTTGTCTGACTGATGGTAACAGTACCGGCACGGGGGATCCAGGCCGTTCTTGCAATCATTTTGCCTTGTGTGAGGGTGCCAGTTTTATCGGAGCAAATATTTGTCACTCCACCAACAGCCTCAAGGCACTGCAGCTTACGCACAATGACATTTCCCTTTGCCATTGCCTTTGTACCCACCGCGACGGTGATGGTAAGCACTGCAATCAAAGACTCAGGTACGACCGCTACTGCAACACATATACCGTAGATTAATACTTCTCCCTGCACGTCGAACTTATTGACAGAGAAGACAATTATAGCGAGAAGCACCGCAAGCCCAAAAAGGAGAAGTGCGAATTTGCTCAGCTTCACCTGTAATGGCGTCCCGACGAGTCCTAGGACGTTTTTGGTTGTAGACTTTACATTCTGGAACGCCCGAATGAACGGGTTAGTGCTTCCCAGATCTCTTTTGTCTTGAAGTAGCTGAGCTATCTTCCCAACTTCTGTCATCATCCCAGTAGCAGTAACGACTCCTGTAGCTCGGCCCTGCGTGGTGCTGCACCCAGAATATGCCATGTTTGTTCTGTCACCAAGCGGTACATCATGCGAGGTCAGCGTAATATGCGGTGTCTTGGTCACCGGCAAAGACTCCCCAGTCAATAATGCCTCGTCCATTGAGACATTCATACCATCGAATAGTCTCATATCCGCAGGAACGATATCACCAACCGCCAATTGCACAATGTCACCAACTACCAGAGACTCGGCTTTTACCGAGGAAACCTGACCATCACGCAGGACCTTGCATACAGGTGCGGATAGCCTGTGCAGAGACATGATTGTCTTTTCTGCGCGGTAGTCTTGTACAAATCTAGATGAGCAAATATTAGCTGGCGCAATCATCCGGTTGCATTTCTAACATGCAGATTGATAATCACGGGAGAGAGGAGAAAAATGGAAACATACCCGACAATAATGTTGAGGAGAATGACTGCAGTTATCACTCCACCTTCAATATAGTCATCGATACCAAAGGATATCGCCATGGTGATCAAAAGAACCTATGCTTTGCGGTTAGGAGAATGAAAACGTGCGTCCTACATCGGAGATGCAGAAAATAAGAGGTATCTAGGCGATCATACTAAGGTCAAACTATTGGAAACTTGCCTCAGCAGTATTTTCCATATGGATAAACCCTCCATCTCTCGGACCCTGTTAGGGCCATCTCGCTGTAGGCGAGTGGCCGAGTCGGCGCTGGAGAGACCATGGCTTATGCCCAGTCAGTATGTAACTTGGCGTCCTTTCAGATATATGGGAAGCGTACCGAGCATCAACGTCGAGAAGGGCAGCCAAGTGCTCTGGGTCAATAGTGTGAGCATACTGTAACGAGCTGCGACAGTCCTCCTGGCGAGAGGAGTTATTTGGTGCAGATTTCACTGATGTCGGACTCTGCTCTTGTACCCAGTTTTCAGACTCAGGATCTGACTTTACATCATTGGGCCGATTCTTTGGTTGCAAGTTAGATTCCCTCTGATAAGGACATATAGGAGGCTCCGTCGATTCTTCGACATCGGGTGGAGATGTTTCAATGCCCATTCAAAAGAGTAGATGAAAAGAAAGGGAGAGTATTTGCTCTGGAGCTCACTGGGAATATTGGACTAGGATGGGATGAATGGGAGCGGAAGTGGCTGAAGAGGAAAGAGGACTATCAAAGAGAACGGCGATCCGCTCCAGACAGGCTTCCAGGGATCTTGGGCCAGCCACTTATACCCCAGCTTTCACTGCGGGAAGGGCAAGGTACAAGGCGGAGGGCAGTGAGGGGTTATCATTGCGCTCCTCACAATATTATTGGGAACCAGACATTAGTATCTTGGCCGATTTCATTGAGCTTTGCGAATCCCCAACAGAGCTCGTCCACGGAGCCTTGGAGTCAGAGGGCGCTAAGGGCTTGGAAGGTGGTCTGGGCATAACGAGATTGGAGGACAACGCATCCGGGGGATCTTGGGGCGAAGGGGATCGAGCGTGATGATTCGTTGCGGGTGTCCAGAACGAATCCTGGAACGAAGTCGTGACGCGAGGCAAAAGTCCTTGGGCCACGTGAGCGGGTGTCACTTCCCAGTTTGCCATGGTGTATCACGTATACCATCGAGTGTTATAGCAAACCTCGGTAAACACTAGTAAGGCATCCTAGATCCACCACTAGCTCTCGGCATCGTGGCTGAGGCGTCGATCTTGACTCAAAGTCTACTGCCATTTTGCAACGTGTTGAAACACTTCCTTGTTTTTATTTCTCTGGCGAGGACGTCTGTCCCGGTAGTACGAAAATATATTACTGACCGACGAGCCTAGAACATTAATAACTTGAAGCGTTGTGCGTCACTTATACTTGCAATTTCCGCGTGAGCTTATACTGGTTGGAGGTGTCTAAGTTCCCTGTTAGATCTATCATAACTCTGATACACACAATTATACTTCCTAACCAGGAAATATCTTTTGCTTCATTTTATGGGATGTGAATTCTTAGGAGTCCGCATCCAATCCTCCTCGATAAAGAACATCCATTGTCATTACGCTCACATCAGATGAACGTTAAATTTCGCGTTAAACAGATTAATTTCCAATTTATATACACCACATGCGCAAATCGACTTCAATATAGACAGCAACTCTACACATGCCACGGCGGAGGCATGTATAGATTATGCTGGGCCTAAAAGTCTTCGCTACCCTCAGGGTATAGCCTCAAGAAGAAGGCACTGTTCGCAGATCAGACATTGCCTTTGCATTCGATGTACCATATGTATCCGCATATCGCCCAGCCATCCACTCTCCCACAGTTATGGGTGGGTATTTAGGGCCCTCGCCAGTGCAGGTTGGGAGACACTCGACGATGTAATCAGGGTTACCAGACATGAAGAATGGAACACTAAAGCGCTCCTTACCGCTCTTGTTGATCACGCGATGAAGGTTGGATAGATATCGATCATTAGTCCATCGCATCATCATATTCCCTAGGTTAACGACATAGGCACCCGGTACAGGGTTTACATCTACCCAATCGGACAAGGCATTGTTCCAAACCTGCAGGCCACCAGTTGCGTCTTGGAGAAGCATGGTAATGGCACCGAAGTCAGTATGAGCACCAATTCCTGGGCCAACTAAAGTCAGAGCTAAACACGATCAATGGCAGGTAGGCCTCACCTCTCTCAATATCTGAGTTGTCCGGATCCTGTGGCGGATAGTGAAGAAGCCGAAGGATAGCAATCGGATTTACGCAAAACGCGTCGAAGGCAGTGTCTTCTAGTTGTAGAGTCCGAGCTAACATTTTCAAAATCCCCTTCGCAAGTGAGGTCATCGCATCTCGATACTCATCCATGACGCTTCGGAATTTAGCAGGTTCGCTAACTTCCAAAGGGTACTTGTTCGGTCCCTGGGCAAACTTCTTGGCCGCCATCTGTGGACCATCTAATGGAATGTGGTTACCTAAGGAGAAACCTTCCTTGAGGTCACCTTTGCCTCGTTTCTCGAAGTTCTGCGCCCGAAGGCGCTCGTATCCGCGATTATCGCCAGTGATCTCTACGTTATTTATTTGTATGAGTTAGTATCTGGCTGGAATACCTCAATCTATGCTTTGCTACGTTCATCATGAGCACCTACCTTGGCTATATTTTTCTTTGATTGATGATGGAAGGTCAAAGAACTCTTTGCTCTGCTGAAGAACAGATTCCTGCAGGCGTACTGGAATGGTGTGATTGATGAGTTGGAAGAAACCAAACTCCTTGCAGGCTTGCCGCAACTCATTTATTAATTGTTCCTTTGCGGCGCCCTCTGGGCCGTAGAATGCTGCGATCTTGATAAATATATCGTAATTAGGATAAGCATAGAGACTAACGTGCAAAGTCAATGACTGGTGGTTCCCTGGCATCCATTTCTGTTATGTCGCCCATACAAAGTAAGCCACAAATGGGGAAGATGATTTTGGAGCTGTAGAGCAGGTGGATGACCTGTGTTTGAGGTATATACTGAAGGGGGTTGCGGATGACTTGTGAATATATGTGTGCAGCTACTTAGCATCTCAGGTATCGTTCGTGATATGGAGAGGTTGCTAATGCCCGGGAGTCCCTTATCGCGAACGTGTATATCTGCTCTACGAGTCACGCACCGAGGTCACGAAACGCTCCAGCAAATAAGCTTGCTATGATAAGGGTCATCTGACTTGACACCATTTAATTACGCCAGCCAGTGATCCTTGGAAGCTGACTAATTTGATACTGGCTAGCTGGCGAAGTTGATTCGTAGCGACTAACGGATATATGAGGTTTCGATGCGGGGCAACGCAAGTTCTAGGGCCTTTATAACAGATTAGTTCTCCCAGTTGTCCAAATGGGCCACTCCCAAGCCAGGTCATAGGACTGATCTGCACATCATACCCAGAGCGTCCCTCATCTGCGATATCGCAACGACGCTCTGTTCATTCCTATATATGCGCCCGTCTGGCTATCCTACCTAACGTGGTTATAGAGTGCAGCCCTCCGCAGAGTCCGAGGCATGCTGGTTAAAGCAGCACAAAGTATATGTTCAAGCTTCAAGGGCGACCCTTGCACCACAAGTTATAAGCTAACCACAATATTCAGTAAGACCTGAAGTTGCCGGGATGCTCCGAATGTCAGAGTGGGGGAATAGTGTACTCGGAATATTTGGAGGCATTCCAATTCCGCGTACGCAATGGAATATTGACGGCTGTCGTTAAAACTCGGAATCAAAATGCAGAGAGTCAACTTTCTTCAAATATAGATCCAACTCCTGGACCCGTATATTTACCGATAAACAACGATATGGAATTTCATACTACTTCTACTATCTCAAGGACTTGGTACGCTGCTATCGGCGACATGTTGAGCAGCACAGCGGCGATAGATCCGTATGCGAACAACGAAAACATGCCAGTTGAGGGGTTTCGTTGGGTAGACTAGCTTACCGCAGCCTACCAGAATTTCCATCAACCACACTGAATGAACGGTGGGCTATTTTATGAATTTCGATGCTTCTCAAGAAGGGTGCTTCTCTCCCCTCACATCTAATATAGGGATTGTATGGTTACACCGATAAAAAAGCCGGGAAGTGAGGTAAGAAAACATCTGGAATAGTGGAGAGGTATATCCATTCTCTAAAGATTACATATCAAAAACACAATACACCGCTATAAAATAAAACAACGACCAGTCTTTACTGATTCCTGGGCCCAGACTCTAGCAATACTGGCATCCGACAAACAAGTGGCGTTGTAAGAGCTGCAGGTCTTTAGCCAGCATACTCAGCATGTTCCCGCGTGATAGTGTCATCATAATCTTTCTTTCCGATCTCAAGACCACCGGTTCTCGCCGATGGCCCGTCGAAAATCTGTGCAATCTCCTCGAGCGAGTGGCCCTTTGTCTCAGGGAACATAAAGAAAGTCACTGCAAGAACGAGGAGGTCAAAGCAGCAGAAGAAGATATAATAGTGCCATCCGATATTTTCCAACGCAATTGGGTTGACGAAGGCAAGGATAACCAGTGAGGAGTATACGGACAGCAGCGTCGTCGTCACACCCTTGCTTCGGATTGAGTAAGGGAAGATCTCAGTGGGATAGCCCAATAGAAGGGGGGTGTATGCGATGTCGTAATGGAAATAAAAGATGAAAACGAAGGCAATAACAGTATTACCGAGCGGGGCCGCCTGGCTTGTGTCGAAGACGGCTGAGCATGCGGTCCATATCACGAACGAGACTAGCATTCCCGCGGCGGACCAGAGGAATAGGGTTCGTCGACCGAGGCGGTCTACCAGCAAAGCTGCACTTCCTGCTGCGATGAAGTTGAAGACTTGTAGTAGGCCGTTGATCAGGGTTTGTGTATCGGAATCGGTTATTCCGACGGTATCGAGGACAAGAGTGAGATAATAGGATACGACAGCAACACCCTATGCAAGGGCAAAAATCGTGGTTAGTGTGGTTTCGATGAACATGACAGAAAGTGGACACAGTAACCTACGTTCCACTGCGCAAATGCTCCGACGCAGACCGCAATGAATGTTCTCTTTCTATTCCCAGGCGTCTTGACTAGAGTCGACCATGGTACCTGGGACGCTCGAGCCTCCATCGAGAGGGTATGAATGATTTCTGACATTTCGAACTGCACCAAAGGGTGGCTGATGTCTCCGGCAGTGTGGAAACGAGCGAGTAATTCCTCTGCTTCTTCACGTCGATCGTTCGCGATGAGCCATCTGCTGGGAGTGTTAGAACAATTGCCTCTTCTACCAAATAGAAACCCTAGATTGGTGGTTGGCTATTGTAATCGTCATGGGAGTCATACCTTGGTGATTCCGGAACACACCACCAGAACAATATTTGGAGGATGGGAAATCCTGCCTGGATAATTGATGGTATTCTCCATGTCCAGTCGTCTGTCATGTTTCTCTGTGTCCCGTAACATGTCCACGAGGCCAGAATGGCACCTAAATAATACATCGTCCAAAAGGCACTGTTGATGCAGGAGTGCTCGTCAGCAAAAGATACATTTGTCGTTTGTCCCCTTTCCGAATGACATACCTTGTATACTTTCCACGATGGGTGGGATATGCCAGCTCCGTAATCAGCATGGGGGCTGGTTGGACTACCAGCATCGATCCAACACCAACCAGAACCCGTGAGAATACGAACATGCCATATTTAACGGAGGCAGCCTGGATCGCAGAAGCGGCCACGATGGTGAATGCACCCAATAACAGTGTCAACCGTCGGCCAAGTCGGTCAGAAAGCCACCCTATGACTGGCAAGGACACCACGCTTCCAATGGACTGAGCTGCATTCACGACACCGAGGATAGAGCCAGTTGGATTTCCGAAATAACTCTTCCATTCAGGAATAGATTGCAAACCGTTCATCAGCGAACCTACAACCCCCTAAGTCAGTTCTCTTGCATCGCCAGGAGCGCAATTCGGGGCGTACCATCGTATCCAGCAACGGCCGATGACAATAAGGGGACCAGAAGAATGAGATTGAGCTTTAGAAGATGCGGTACCCTGAACCAGGGCTTGCCATGCTGGGGTAGAACGGCAGCGAGTGCCTCTCCAACAATATCTTGGTCCTTCATAGTGGCCTAATAGTTGTGATGTGAAGCCAGACCTGGATCGGAAGTATTTAGTGCATGCGCGAACTAGTTCGATTTACAGGTATATAAATAAACGGCTGGAGGCTACATCATTGACTAAGGCATTGCGTACGGATGGCCCCATCTCCATCCAGCGTCGCTGATACGGCAGGGTTGGTCATATACCGTGACCGGGGCTGAGACTACCCCAGAAAGTTTAACTGGTGGCAGCATGCGGGGGTAAACCGGCTAAAGCATTACTAGTAGACTTCTTCGAGCTTTTTTCACTGCCAACAGGAAGCGTGGGGCATGACTCGTGGTTATGGCCGAATCGAGTTTAGAGATGGAACGGACAGGCGGGGCCGTTTCCAGCGGACTGCCTCGTCCGGTCTCGGGTGATATGGGAGATACCATCCCGACTCTTGTCTTTTCTCGCGTGGGTCATGGAAACAGGATGGCGGACAGTGCCATGCGAAGTGGGAGATATGGACTGAGAATCCGCGATGGACTTTACAATCCTGGTGGGCATTGTCGTGGACCTTGGGGAAGGATGGGGAGTATAAAATATCCTACTGAGACCAGATGAATGTCAAACGATATCACACCTCAGAAGACCAATACTTTTAGTTGTGCTGCAACTTTAAAACGTATTCTATCAACCCATTTCTTAACTTCGACGTTAAAATACCCACAATATGGCTGCTGCACAGAAGAGCATCCGTTGGCCTAACCCCACGCTGCCGGACAGCGTCTTCAAGATGTTCGACATGCACGGCAAGGTCGTTATCATTACTGGTGGCTCGGGTGGTATCGGTTACCAAGTCGGTCGGGCGTTAGCTGAAGCTGGTGCTGATGTTGCCCTCTGGTACAACAACTCCAGCGAAGCTGAAGATCGGGCTGCGGCAATTGCCAAAGACTTCGCCGTGAAGTGCAAAGCGTACAAGTGCTCGGTCCAGAACTTCAATGAGGTATGCAGCCACACAATCATCCCTGTCGCATTGCGGCTTTTGTCCACTGCCCACTAACGATGATATTTACAGGTTGAGGCTGCTACCCAAGCTGTTGTCACAGACTTCGGGCGTCTGGACGTGATGATCGCCAACGCTGGAATCCCCTCCAAGGCAGGCGGTCTTGATGACCGTCTTGAGGACTGGCACCGCGTGGTGGATATCGACTTCTCAGGTGCCTACTACTGCGCGCGTGTGGCTGGAGAGATCTTCCGCAAGCAGGGCTCGGGCAACATGATCTTCACTGCGTCCATGTCGGGCCATGCCGCCAATGTCCCCCAGCAGCAGGTATGCTTCATTTAATCTCTCATCACACGATAGGTTAGTGCAAACAAGTGACTGAGTACTCTCTAGGCCTGTTATAATGCATGCAAGGCTGGTGTTATCCACCTTGCTAAGTCTTTGGCCGTCGAATGGGCTGGCTTCGCTCGGGTAAACTCCGTCAGCCCTGGATACATCGACACCCCTATCAGTGGCGACTGCCCATTCGAGATGAAGGAGGAGTGGTACAGCCTGACCCCGTTGAAGCGTGATGCCGATCCCAGAGAGCTTAAGGGTGTCTACCTGTATCTTGCCAGCGATGCAAGCACCTATACCACGGGTTCGGATATCGTTGTCGATGGTGGCTACACTTGCCGGTAGATGTTATGTTTCTTTATGATGACTTTACTTTTAGAGCATATAGACTTGGTGAAAGGGGTTTTCGTTTGTGGATTTCAGTTGAGGCATTTTGGGATGCATTCAATGGTGCCGCTTTGTTTTTGCATCATGTTATTTAGTATGTTGCTACGGCCTACA